TCATATATCTACTTTGGTTGTTTTTAAATGCCTTGTATTTGTAGTTTTTGTGTTTCCCTTTCCCTCCTTGGGTTTGTGTGCCGCCCTGAGTCCCGCTGGGAATAGGGCGGCATATAAATAAAACAAAACCTAAACCTATATTCTGTAAGATGCAAACTTGGAAAAAGTGGTGGAGACTCAGAAAAACTCAGTTGCGAAAAAAGCATACAAACAAACAAAGTAGATATATGAGAAGCAACAAAATAATTTATAGAATAATTTCTGGCTGAAAAGTCCAGCTTGAAATGTGGTTTAGGACTGGAGATAGAATTTAAATAATATAATGAGAATTATAGAAAATTATGGAGACATCTAAATCTGAAAATGCAGCTGCTTCTATTATCCAGTGACCCTAAATATGTACCCTGTAACAAAAGGCCATGGAACTGTACAAATGGAAGCCATAAATGAATTATCTTGGGTAGTACCCTGGAGACCTAGGGATCGATTAAGAATCCATGAAATATAAATAAAATCTATAACTTTAGGTATCTTTCATCCAATATATCCTTAGCAAAACTAGCATTACTGGGTATCTTTTTTCACATCTGACTTCAGCCAACGATGCTCCGCATGGTCTTGAAACAATATCTCACAATATCTTCCACATGACTGACGTTGTGGGATCGTATCACAATCACAGTGTTTGTGTAAATGAAATATTAAGGATACTACATATTAGCCTGTAAGCATCATTGTAACCCACATGCCGTTTCCCATAGAACATCTCTCCAGAAATCTCGAAACTTTACCTATCCAAAGTATATTGCCTGGCTGTATGCATACAGAACTCAGCAGCACCCAGTGCTCCCCAGGAGATGCCATAACGTGCATTATTCAAGCAGCCAAAAGGTCCCTGTGGGAAGAGAAAGACATTACGATTCAGAGAAGGAATTTATTAATATTCCTTCTGTTCCAAAAAGATATGGGCTTCCAAGCATCATCCACATGATTGATAGCTACCATTTGCCTACTAGCTGTTGTGCAAGCTTTACAACTGAGAGTGCCATAAAGTTTATTTTATATATCAAATCCCTTTTTAAAATAATATCATAAATCACTCTGCCTGTGAAATGAGCATTGATATGGCTAAGTTCTTTTGAAGGAAGTTGTTCAAAGACAGGACCTCATAATATAAACAAAAATCGAATACTAGATTTATATTTGTCCCTTAGTTGTACCNACATCCACTTGAGGCCAGCACACCAACCAATCCAATGGGCCAGGCCGCCATCGCACAGCAACCGGCCATCGTTCCGCCAAGGCCATCGGTCAATGATCCCCAGTTCGAGGCCTTCCCACAACCAGGCCTCTCCTAACCTGCTGCCGCCTGCCAGCAACTGTTACCAGTTACTCCTCAAGCCAAGTTTGTTCCCAATGCCCCCCAGTTCGAGGCCTTCCCACAACCAGGCCTCTCCTACCTGACTGCCACCTGCCAGCAACCATTGCACGTTCCGCCTCAAGCCAAATTAGCACCCCCCCTGGGTTTTCCCACATTCTTAGTCCAGGTCAATCAAGCTTCAATAGCCCGGCCACCGCCTACCGGCGGCAGGACTCTGTTCCACCTTCTTGGGTCGCGCCCTCTCGCCCGGGCCTACCTGGTTCGTTGGGCCCAGCTTCAGGGGCAGGCCAAGATGGCATCACCCGGAGCTCCACTCCCTTCATGGAGGAGCTTCCACGGGCACCTCTTACCACGACGACTCCTCCTCACCAACTGAGACATTTGGGGTGGGTCCGGCGTCACCCCGCCTACCTGAGCAAGTACACATGCGCCATTTCTGCACATGTGGCCTCGCTACGGGGGAAGGGGTGTTAAGTCCTCAACTTATGTCCAAGTGGCTAGCAACAGCCAAGCCGCGTCCTGATTGGATAAGTCACGGCTTGGCTTTACGCGGGCCGTGAGGGGTGCTCCTATTGGCCTCCCTGCTTGACAGCTCCATATAAATAGCTGTCAAGCAGGGAAGGTGCTGAACTGCTTATGTATATAGTTAACCGTGCTGTTCTATTGAATAAAGAGCTGTTAGTTACCTCAGACTGCCTTCCACCTCGTCCTTCGTCTGACCTTCTAAACATTTCACATCTCATCCAAGGAGCTTCTTCAGCTCTCCAGTACCAGGATGAATATTTGATAGTGGGGAAATTGAAAGCATAGTGAGAGTCACATGATTTCCCACTTAGTGACCATTTTGCTTAAGGACAGAGTTGCTGGTCCCAACTGTGATTGCTAAGGAAGGACTATTTTTGTTGCACATATTATATTTACAATAATGTTTAAACCCAATTATGCAGCTCATTATATTTAGGAGTTATGCTATACCAGCTTTCAGTTAAATTACAGAGATTACTGTTACAGGTGGTTAGAAAATAATCTAAGTTAATTTAGTCTCCAAGTAGATGTCCATGTTATAGTTGTGAAAAAAGAGCACATGACAGCAACTTATATATCTTAAAGGCAGAAATCAAGATCATGATTTTTCGTGTCTTTGCTTAAAAGGGTGATATTCTAGATTTTGTAGATGCAAGACTAATGTCAAATATCTATAGACAATATCTATTCAATGCAGCCATCAGAGTAGAATAAGTTATCCATGTAAAAAGAATGTTAGTAGAACTATATATGCAAGCATAAAAGAGTTACGTTTATACCCAATCTTGCTTTAGCCTCTCATGTCACAACCTCCACTCCCAAAGTGTTTCTGAAGGTCCAGGGACCCATTTTGGCGGTGTAATCTGGCATGGGATAACAGACAGGGAAGTAGTCAAAACCCAGCAATTTCCAAATTGGCACTCTTATTTTCTGTTCCCCAGCCAGAAAAGACCAGATTTCATATACAGTTTCATTAGTATGCAGAATAGGAACAATATGATAATGTTCATTAATCCATTTTCTGTATTACCTGTCCATTCATTCATTATACATTTCTTCATTATCCCATTTATTCTGGATTTAGAAATGGAAGAAATATTATTAGAACTACAAGTGTTTTAATTTTCTTCAAAAAGAAAGGTTACTCTTTCTTGACACCAAACTTCATGAATGCTTTCTTTTTATGTAGGCTTAAACTGACACAAGTGCATTCAAAACTATATTTCTCCCACACATGCACACCAACTGCAGGAGAGAGGTTCAAAAGTATTTTCACATATGAAATTATTTTGGCTTATGATGGGGAAAAGATTTACAGAATAAGACAGAACTAAGTTTATCTTCCTGCTGACAGGTGGAGACTGACTGAGTCTTCCCCCCCCCCCCACTCTTTCCACCCATTCTCCTTTTCATTGATATTGTATGAGGCAAATAGACTACAATTCATTTCAAATTATTTCTAGCTTTTTAATGTTAAAACGCCAGATCAAAGAGACATATGCTTAGCTGGCCAGCCTGAATTGCTACCTTCCTTTTCAAGCCTTTGCAGCTCTGATTTTAAAAGCTCAACCAGCCTGGCTTTTCCTTTCTTTTATTTTTAAAATTAATTGCAGATAAAATGCCATTTCTTTCTCTTTTGTAAAACAAGAGACCTCTGCCTGTGGAATTAACTCCATAGTTGGTCTGGACATGAACTTCACATATCCCAAACTTCCTCCTTTCTGCTGATATATACCCATTAATTTTCATCCATTCATTGCTGATGAGTCTATGAATACCCTTCATCTGCTTTTACTTTGCTTTCTAAGGACAAACTAGTCCTGAGCATGTTGTCTTGATTACATTAAAAAGTGATGGCCTGTAATGTTTTTTTTGGGGGTGGGGGGAACAGAACCTAAAATGTAACTTTTGGTTTGCTCTGTCAGAGAGGAGTTTCAATGGGCAAGTTTATCACAATGTCAACAACATAAATAACCTCATGTCCAAGAAAAGTTCTATGTGTTGAAGTTACAAATAACCCCGCTAGCAGCCAAACAGAGAGGAGGAAGGAACTGGTCAGAAAGAAAAATCATTTATGTAATCTCAGAAAACCATTTTGTATTGACTCTACTCTTTTCATCTATGTAGACTTCTGATTTTTCTCCATTTTTTCCTCCATTCAGATTACAAATGGCATTTTTAAGGAGTTGCTCAGATTTCAAAATATTTTATTGTTGAACTTTGCTTTCTAATCCATAATATTTTTTTAAAAAATTCTCTAAGATTGACAAAATATCCTGCACCTAAATTGTTTCCTTGAGAATTTTTTGGTTATGTTTTAATTAAATGAATAAAAACTACCAATTTTAACCCAGAATGAGAAACAAATGAGAGATAATGTTATAAAGAAAAAAAGGAGTAATAATAAAAAAGAGAACCGAAGAAAAAAAGAAACAGGAACATTTCAATGCACGGTCATTGTAATACTCATAACTAATTTAAACTGATGAGACTTTCATTAATTTATTTTAATATAATCAGTTCTGCCTTCTTCTGTTTTTTATCTTTGTAATGTTGAAGAACAAGTCAAGGGTTCCATGTGATAGGAAAACAATTAAAAAATATGACCACCTGAGAATATTAGAACTCAAATTTGATTATATATATATATATATATAAAACCTGTTATAATTATGATTCTCTGCATATTTCAATGATTCAATTAATCTTACAAAATCTCCAACAAGAGCATTTACTCATGCCTTTTCTATTAAATACATTAAGACTGCAATATTATTATATTTTTGTAATCTAAGTTCTACTGAAGTTTTTTCGGCGTCAATCTTCACATATTTTCCTATAGCCTAAGCAAAATAAAAATTTCTTTATTCCATTCAGCCATTAAAGACTTCAAATCAAATTGATTCATCATCAACCAAATTTTATAGTTGCAGAGAGATGTTGTGTCATAGGATGTAATGATTGTTTGTATCAGATTAAATTTACCAAAATCCAAAATGCCCAAAGCCCAAATTGGGATGTCAGTAAGATTGGACATTAGACAGCGTAAGATTTATCTTTTAATGTGAAACCTAATAAGCATTCATCATTTTCATTTATGAAATGATCCAATGTACAAATCCTGGTTTCCATTTAAATGTTCATATAATAGTTTTATATTAATTCTGAACCAGATATAAGAGTAAAGTCTTGGCTAAATTGACTGAGCAGATCAACAAGTAACTAAAGGCAATATAACTAAGTAAATATACAATATATAATTATTCTAAAAGGCCCAAGGAAGAAGTTTCAAAAAAGAGAGTCCTTCAAAATTTGGAACCTGCCAAATATGCAAAATGGCATAATTCAAGATTTAGAAAAGCAAGTCTTCCTTCCCTAATTCAAATTATGTTTTAAGAATATATGTAATTTTTAATAATTTAATAATTTTTCAAATCATTATATTACTTGTATGAAAATATGTTACAGATACATATTACATATTTTTTTTCTGTGCAAAATTTATATCACTCCAGGCAATGTGTTCATATTACAAGTTGTTTAACTTTGACCAAAAGGCAGTTAAAAGACTGCCATCTGCTGAGTTTGAAAGATATTTTACATGTTTTTATTCTTATTTGATTATCTTCAATATATCACACAGAATAAAAGCGTAGTTATAGCTATTCATAATAAATGCTAAACTGATAACTGCTTAATTAATGAATGAAATGATTTTTAAAACATTTTTTAAACTTTTGAAGGCATGAAAATCAGACGTTAAATAATAAAATGTAATTTGTATAAGCCTAATTTATATTATGATAATTATATAACTATAATATGTACATTATCTTATAATCTTATTGAGTAGCACAAGCAGGAGTTTTGAAACAAATATTAAAGATCAAAGGGAAAAGTAGGCATTCTTGCCATTGAAAAAAATGGATGAAAAATGTACCATTGTACCAACTTTCACAAACTATTCACAAACACATACACATGCAAACAGAAAATATTCCAAAATTTAGGAAATTATTCAAAGTAAAATTCGGCCCTCATACATCTATTAGCTGATAAAATGCAAACTAGATCAGAGGTCTTTGAAATAGACAAAGTAGTAAAACATTCCTAAGTGCATAAATTTTAGTGTGCTTTGTGTATAATTATAAATTATTATTTAAAGTAATTCATAAATATATCTGAGATTGAAATTAGATTGTCATTTAATCCTACGCACACAAATGCAATTGAGTCACACTGAAGACATTGTAATCCCCCCTCCAGAAAAGTACTGAATTAGGTTGCTCTGTGATGAGTATTGCTCT